ATCAGGTAAACAAAGCGTTCCATCGGCTAAATCCAAGCGTATTCCAGCCGGTACCATGAAATCCATACCCAAGATCGCGTCTTGACCTACTTGATCTCCAACCCAAGCATCGAAATAATAGACTAGTGATCCATTCAACGTAATCTTGATTCTTGTACGACCATCCGTCCTGTATGTGTTCTCACCAATTCCAACGCATTCTTGCCTCTGACTCTCGTCAATGACCTATCCTACCTTACGAGCAAAGGTGGTGTCGACGATCGAGACTTCGGCTCCAGAATCAAATAACATAATCGCTTTTTCATTGTTGATCTTGCCCGTTGCCTTGGCTTGCTTGAACCATTTTCCTGGGGTATGATATTTCCAATATCCTCTTGATTCACCTGGTGCTAAGTCGAGCTCCATTTTAGCAGGCGATCGGGCATACTCATCAACTCTTACGACACTTGATATTAAACGCAAATGATTTGAATCCTCACATGTATTGATCGGATCGATCCGAGTGTTAACACCTTGATCAGTCGAACTTCTTTCCACAAATGCATAAATGCAGAGCCTAGAACGCTCGGCTCGTACCAGATTCAAACCTGGCGAGCGTCCTAGTTTAACATTTCTTCTGCCTTCGGCGGAAGCATTCCAGCATGCTTGGTTGGAACATACTACTTGCGTATCATGTTGTAGAATTCTTCCATCCGACACTTTCCACTCTCATGAACATCTCCGCAGGCGGAACAGGTGTAAAAACACTTATCCGAAGGGTGTCCCTCACGACCACACTTCTGACACGTTAGTCTCTTCCAGCATCCACGATCATCATGTTTCTTTGATCCACAATGGGTACAAGCCTTCTGATTCCCCATGCGATCTGGACTGCGATCTTGATCCAAATGGTCCAATGCAGCACGTTGATCATTAAATTTCTTCACGCGATCCGGTACTGTAGCCACACAAAGGTTGCGTCGATCTATTTCGGCGTCTGATCCACTAATATCCGAGTCTGACTCGCTGCTACTGCTCTCCAGACGAATCGCTCTCACGGCACGAGTTGATTTCGAGGGTGCCGGAGTGGATGCCGACGCAGATCGCTGACGAAATTTGCTTGACCCCATTGCACTCGGATAATGTCTCCCTTCCATGCGTTGATATGTTCGAAGAGTCTCTTCCATATCGTCGGCATCTCCAAGGCGTAACAACGTCAATTGCTTAGCCAGATCGCGATCGTCGAGCGTACCAATGAAATGTTCCACATGTTCTCGGCGAATTGAAGGCGATCCTTCCCGAATGGGGATTTTTGCTCGGATCGCGGCTACATTCAGCCGATACAAAAATTCCAATGGAGTTTCATCAGATCGCTTCTTCGCATGGTAATATTGTCTCCCGACAGACATACCATATCCACAATATTGGATCATGAAGGTTTCCAGCAACGACTTCCAAGAGTTCCGGGTGGATCGGCTAAGCTGGATGTACCAATTTCGCGCCGGCCCCGTGAGTAAGTCACCAAATACTAGACATTTTTCATCGTCCGGGGCTTGATCGCGTAAGAATGCAGACTTGGCCTTGTTGACCCAGCTTCTCGCCCGATCTTCGTCCTTGTCCCGTCCTGTGAATTCTTTTAGGTCTGCGATCGCAGACATTCGAATTCGCTGGGTGACAAGTCCACCATTAGGTACAGTGCCTGCACTTGCGACTTGTAGCCGTCGTAGATCCTCCAACCCCAAATCGTCTGGATCGCAATTATTGGATCGCGATTGACGCGATCCGGCCGATTCCATGTCCACATCCGAAATGCAGACTTTTGGGGTATTTATGGAGATCGCGGATCGACTAGCGATCATGCGAGCTTGATCCTGTTCATACTTCCTCATAGCAGCTTCAAGGTAGGACTGCAGCTGCCTTGATCCAGTCATTCGTATCTTCAGCTGCGAATTTCGTTGGCGACTGTACTTCGGCCTTGGTCGGTACAAGTCGTTCACGAATGTGTGCTGCAACAGCCGGTCCAAGTGACATTCGCTGAATGTTGATCGAGGCATCCGACTCCCCTTCAGATTCCGCTGACATATATTGTGACGATCCAGTATGATAACCTTTTGGAATATCTACGATCGGTTGGATCGCCTGATCTACTGGATCGCGCTCTCCAGCTAGCGGAACTAACTTCGAAAACAGAGATCGCCCTGCCTGGATCACGCGATCATGATTGCATTCCAACAGCACCTGTACGTCAAAAGCTCCAGCGGTGAACCCAGCGTTTGGAGCAACTCCATAAGCCGACGGATCGCTTCCAACTGGTTCGGTGTCGTAATAGGAGCTGAAATTGGTCCTCGTAGTGATCCAATCAACTTCGGTTTCAAAATCTTTAGAATGGGATCGCTTGACAACAAATCTTTAAGCTCCTTCCAATGATTTCACCATTCCAACTGATCCAGTTTCCACCCTTCCGTCTTATCATCCTCCTGCGCTGGCTTCATGTCGGTATCATCATGATCCGATTCAGGCGCCTTCATCTTCAATCGAGATGGCTTCGAATTCTTCTTCTTCTTCGAATTCGGTATGGTTTTGGATAAATTTCCCTCGGTTTTAACCGAAGGATTTTGATCCAGCGGATCGCGTTTTGCAACGTGATCCGCAGGGGTCCTCGAAAGGACCTGGGGAGGGGGTAGAGATTTTTCTTCTAGATCAATCTCTTGATCTTCCTCTTTGGTTTTCTTTTCATCTGCGCCCCTCCCAAAACGCTGATGATCCGGGGATCTTTCTTCTTCACACTTCTGCGGTGATCCCTTTGCCGCTGACGCTTCAATCCCAGGTTCAGTCTTGACCTTTACATCTTCTCTCAGGGACTCACGGTGAAATCCCGAGTCACTAGAAGATCCGGGCACGCGCACCATTGTGGTGGAGTGGGATTCGCAAAATTGCTGATGCGATCCCAACTCTCCACTGGCGCCCGGACGACCGACTAACGGAGGGGGTACCCCGATTCCGTGTAACTTTCCTTCCTCACCTTGTGTACCCGTCGGTAGGGCGGGCTGCACTCTTCTCGGTGGACTTGAGTCGATGCTGAACTTGACCAGGGTTGGGGATTGGTCGGGGGGGTCGATCACGTAAAAAAAACGCGATCGAAAGTTGTATGGGGGTGCTCTATGAGTCACCCTGGTCTGCCTTGAGACCGCCTTATCCAAATGTAGATACTTGATCCACTTGATTTCACTTGATCTTCTGACCACTTGAGCCGTCTCGATATCTTGTACCTTGTCCTTTACGTTGTATACTGCGTCCGATCGCAGGGGTTTTTGCTTGGGTTGAGAGTTCTTGTAATCCCTGGCCAAACAATCCAGGGATATCACTTGTCGTAGCGTAACAGAAGCTCTTGATCGTCGGGGGCCAAAGTTATCCGCCCGGAAGAGAAGTCTGCGTGCGTGCTTAGAAGTAAAAGAAACTCTCTTTAATGTTAACCAATGAAATACCAAATCCTACGATTATGCCTATCTGTATGACAGTACCTACTGCCGCGTGTCGTCTCTTTCAGGAAAATCAGATCTCGATATGTGGTCCACTTCGGATACCATCGCGATCTTGATCCGTCGATCGAGGTTACGATCGATCTGTAACCGATTAAATCTCTCCGCCGTGTAAGTGGTCCACATTATGATCACTTTCGATATTGTTGATCAATTTTTCTTGATCGACTTCACCACATGGACCTGCGCGAGTAGCGTTGCTTCATAACGCATAAAGGCCTCAAGACGAGCATCAAGGACCTCCGGACCTTGGGCCAAAAGGGCCTCGATTTGTACATGCCCAACGAACGCAGATAATTTATCTAGTGCGAGTCGTTGCGCTTCAGAGAGGTGATTTTGATTCTCCATCCTCACAGGGGGTTAGTCGTTTATAGACTCAGGTGTAGGATTGACTACAAGTGCTACCAAGTGTAGCGGAGCTGCACAGCTCTTTAGCCAGAGGAAGACTTTAGGCTGGAAGCATCTAGTTCTAAAGAACTAAATAAATTTACGGCAAAATGCCACTTAGTTCTAAGGAACTAATTAAACGACCTTAAAGTCACCCTGTTCTAAGGAACGAGGAAAGAGACTTTAGTCAGCAAGCAGTAAGCTTAAGGTTCAGAGAACCAGCGCACATAGTGCAAGAACAAGCTAGAAGCTTAAAGGTTCAGAAACCAACGCACGAAGTGCACAAGAGAACAAGTCAGAACGACTTGCGATCTTAAACTCAAAATGAGAACTGATTTTAGTTATGCTTTAAGATTTTATGAATAGTCCTACTCTAAGTACACTACACTAGACTGATTACTATAATAGTAATTATAATATTCAGACTTTGCTATTGGACGACGTATCGTCTAAACATCTGTGTATGATGTACTTAGTACAGCGTTATCGATTATCGAATCCTAATCGATAGGATACGGTATTACCGAATACCGTATCTTTAATGCTTATACTTAATACCTCTCTAAAGAGAAGTATCAAGAATACATTGCATGCAATTAAGGGAAACTTCAACCGTAAACTTTCAAAATGATGTTACAAATATATTTAGCAGTTTAGACAAGTTATCAGTTAAGGCACCACCTTTTTAGACAGTTTTTACTGTATAAATACCGAAGACGTCGTGCTGGATCATATGATTTTAAAAAGTTGTTAGCAACAGGTATCAGCTGTCCTGACGATCTACAGCAAATTATCTGAATGCAATTTAAATCCACTCTCGGTATAAAGAACGTTGCTAAATACTCAAATTACGCAAAAGGTTTAAACTTTACGGCAATCGTCATCTCATTAATTAGAGGTTGTGGACTCCATTTCGACAAAGTATACAGGAAATTGTTATTAGGGATCTGATTACAATGCCGTCTTACAAGATGAGCCCTTATTCACTTCTAGAGCTGCGATAGTGGGAACTGTGCATTGGATGTAACACAATGAAGTTCTCACCCACAAATCGCTATAGCACATAAGAGGTGTTAAGGTTTGCCGGGAAGTCGATCAAAGACCATTGACGTCGACCGAACTTGAGCACATAGTAAGCCGCGAGCAAACCGCGCCCGACTGTGTGCCGTACTTTACCAACTCCACAATGGTATCGTAGTTGTTGTAAAACGTGAGGCACATGGAGTCGGTCGACATGACAGTGCCCAAGTGTCCGATAATGTCTCGGACATACTCCACTTGCTGACCTTCTCTAGAAACAGCTTGGTCGACCATCTGTATGAACCTCTGACACAATTGGCAGGACAAGTTTTCTTCGGTATTTAGGTCCGTGACGGCAGACATAATGTCGCAAACTTGGTCGTCCGTCTTGCCTTCCAGAAGGTACAGCTGTACTACACTTTCTGACTTCAACACGAAGTTACACTATAAAATTCATTGGAGCAATAGATTAGTACCCTCCAATTGAAACAGTAACAATTATAACAATCCAAATCTCAAAGATTGTACCTGTTCCACCAGCTCAGGACGATCGAGATCGTTGCACGACGGTCCACCCCAAACCCGCAGCGAAACCATGTCGAAAGCCGTACGAATGTACCTCATCAAGCTCTCCGTCTGCTTCACCAGCTCTTCCTTCTTGCGGGTTATCTCCATTGCCTTTAAGCACGCCGTCTTCCTTTGTACTGCCGGATCCTCCACTTCCTGCTCGATCACCACAATGCGAACGACGTCATCCGCTTCGTTAAAGCGAGGAGAGGCGTCTGCCCCATTGTGGAAGTAGTTCTGCAGCATCTCGCTCGAGTGCTTGAAGTGTTTGCTCAGCGCCTCCATGAGGGAAGTGGTTGCCTCGGTCTTGGTCTCGTTTTCGTTGGGAATGGTCGTCTCGCCATCCGTGGTGATGCTCGGACTGTAGCGAATGCTCTGTTCGGCATTCACAACGGCCGACGTAACCGCTAGACCAAGCATCAACTTGTAGACGTTCTGCATTGTTTCCTTCTTGTTCTTCTTCATTGGCAAATCTGACAATGGAAAATTTAAAGTAAGTCGTAAAAGTGCAGGACGGAAGACATGGAAGAGTGGCGACGTAAGGGCAAGTTTGTAGGTCAAATCGAATTTGTACCGTTGTTGAACTTGGGATTAGACCGAGATTAGACAGAAGGCGATACGTCACCTCTATGGAGCTCGTCGTAGGAATGTAAGAGTGGAAATGTGTAAGAAGAGTCAGAGCACGCTCCCCGATCAGACAATTTTGTGGAACGACAATAAGAGATGTAATCGGTAGCCAAAGGCGTCAACGGACAGAGATGAGAGTCTCATCTGGTACCCAGACTCAGACTCAGTGGGTAATTACCCATACCCAGACTCATGGGTTGGGTATGGTAATTGGCTTTAATTAACCACCTTACCCATGGGTACCCATGGGTAAATGTACCAAATTTTTGAGACATACATCAGACACACCTGCTCGTATTATTTTTATAATTGTTAAATGTATTGGTAACTCATTACGCCTTTTTTGGTGAAAGTCTACCGCATATATAATGCAAAGCAACTGAAGCCGGTGGCGCTGGCCATGCTAAGCAAACTCAAGAAATATATATCAAGCTGGCGTTTAAACAGGATGCAAACTTCTTTGCAACGGTGTTAGATCCAAGATAGAATATCAGCTGGTTCAAAAACCTCGACGAAGGGCCAAAGCAATTTGGGCTCTTGGCCATAGCCCAGAAGCAATTGTTGTAATTTACACTTGTGTCACACGATACAATTTCGGAACTGTCGTTCATTTTTACCATACAATACAAGCCCCACTGTCCTAACATACAGCCAGCAACTTCCACTGTTCTTCAACTTATTCCAACAATTGAGTTGCTTTTTGTGGATGTAGCATACATGAATCAGAAGTCATTAGAATAGTTCCTGCTTCCGCCACCTGTCAACATTGGTAACGACAAGAGCGATGACGACATGGAGCCAGACGTCTTCGCATTTGCTGAAGGCATAGTTATACAGACCGTAGTAAGCAAAGTCGAGGAAAAAGCTCAAACTTATTTTGCTCTTTCGCCTGTTCGCATACACTAGGTGACATTGGAGTGGTAAGCACTGCATCAGCTGCAATTCTCCACACTTGCAAGGATGGCAAGATTTTATCTGGCCATCCCCGCGACTTCAACTCCGTCTGATAAAGGTCTCTCTCAGGGTAGAAGGAATTACAGGTAAAACAGAATTTCGCTTTCCCTTAAAAGCTTGGAGAGGCTTTTGTGCCTCAAGGATTGGATAAGGACACAGGGTCAATTTTTTTTGTCGGCAAGGGACTAGTTTTTTCCTTTGTCAGCTCGCTAAAACTTCCCACGTGGGAGACGTAGAGTGTGTACTTTTATGACCAATTTTCATAATGCTTTTTCTCCCTTCCATATTGTTTAATAGTCCGCAACTCTGCATGTTTATTGCGCGGGTAACATGGGTAATTACCCGCGGGTATGAGTCCAAGTCGTGGGTAACAAAATTTGAATGAGTCTGAGTCGTGGGTAAACGCAATTACCCAACCCAGACTCATGGGTACCACCTCTAGATGAGACCCTTTAGGAAGCCAGGAAACTGGCCCCTTACCTTGGGCAGAAAGCCTCGCATCGTGGGGCCAAGGAGAGGGTTTCATCTCGCTCTCTGAGCTTGAGCCTGATCCCATGAACTCCCTTAAGACCGTGAGGACCTTGTTGAGATCCAGTATCGGTTGTATATGTACATTAGCACAGGGCCAGACACTTCCAGGTGACAAAAAGGACAGTATATCAACTTCTTACAACGCGTCTACTTTTCATGGAGCTGGCGCGCTTCCACCAACGTCTGTGTCGAGTCGTGCTGCGCGTGGGTCATTCCATGTTGATTCTTGGTGTCTTGAACATGTATCGCTTTTCTTTAAGTCAGTTAGAGCTTTTGTGTGGATATATATTGTCTATTTACCGTTATGGTTGACAAGACTTCTGAAAACTCCTCTGCCATTTTAGTATTCAAGAGCTGTATCCTGTCGGTAACGAGGGCTGTGCAGTTCCGGCTCCCGGTTGACGATGATGTCTTACATTTTTATTTTTTCCGTTGCTAGGCGGACGTAGACGATATTGCTCACATCCCTATCTCTTCGTTTTTTCTTGGTAGCGACCGCTTGGAGTTAGCGAAGAACGTGACTTCTGCTACCTCTTCCTTCGTGGACGCACTTTCCCATTTTTCGACTTGTGGATACTCCTGTTCCGCTATATCCAGAGCGTGGCTACGCAGACGGAGCAAGCTTTTACTATATTCCTAACCAGGTCCGACCAGCTATGTCTGCGGTGTCTAGGAACATGTGCTAGATATCCGCCAGCACTCTCATAGGTAGATCTGGTGCCGATCGCGATAACGTTGCTTGTTAATATACAGAGCGTCTGAGCGAATGATACCTTTGATCGTGACATATGCCTAAGCTTTTGAAATACAGGCGTTCATCTTGTCAATAAAATTCATGTAACAGGGTATCTAGTTACACGTAAACATTAAGTAATATACTTAATGTTTGGTCTAAAAGTATCCATGATTACTTTTGACCTGTCACTTGGGTGCGATACACAAATGTGATTCACCCTCGTGAATGTGATATCTATTGATGGATTCACATGAGAAGGGATGACAGGCTAGGCATCACGACGTCTCAGAAGGACGTTAGTTGCGATCTTAAATCTAGATTTAAGATCATGCGACAGGATACGCTTCTAAAGAGTCGCGTATCCGATCTATATATATATATATATATATATATATATATATATATAGCCAATCAGTAGTTAAGTATATATTTAGTTATAATTAATTAAATATAGCTCAGTCTTCCATTTGCTACACACCGAAGCACCACGCACGAGAAGCTGAAAAGCTTCTACGTGACGTCGGTGTCTTCTTGTATTAGAAGTTATTTGCACTCTCGCTCAAGCGAGAGGCAACTGGTGGTACGACTGCTTAAGCAGTATACCAGCCTCCTAACCACCCTCTCACGCGAAGGTAAGACGGTCTAACCGCTTCCTCGCTTGTGCATCAGGTGTGTGCTAGTAGCACGAGGCAACTTCGTAGAAGTGCCCGTCTACAAATGCGATCAACGACTGGTCAGTGCCAGTCGATGTCAAGGGACTAAGAAAGTTCCTTGGGCTAGCGGCGTACGTGCACAAGTACCCACGCAACTACGCCAAAATGACAGTACTCTTTCTTGTTTACTCAAGAAAAATGTAAAGTGGAACTGCAACTCTGACTGTCAGCGTTCCTTTGAACGTATCAAGCGAAGCTTGATGCAATCTCCAGTATTGGCGATTGCCGATCAAGACAGACCATTATATGTGGTCGGTGACGCCAGTGATTTTGCAATCGGCTGCGCATTGATGCAATATGATACAGACGGCGCCGAGCGTGTCGTCTGCTATCAATCGCGTCAGTTGCAACCAGCTTAGCGCAACTATCTAGTGCATGACAAGGAATTACTTGACTTGAAGTATGCACTGGCTAAGTTTTACGTCTATCTCTTAGGAGATAGACCGTGCATAGTGTATACAGACCATGCGTCACTACGCACGGCTGTAAACAGCCCACACCTCTCGCAAAGAATGGCGAGACGGTTGTCTTTCTTAGAGGAGTACAACTTCTCCGTGAAGTATAAACCGGGACGACTTAACGTCGTCGCCGATGCCCTCTCACGTCGGCCTGACCTAGAGCCGACTGTGCAATCCGACAGTGATGTGAACACCACTGTCGCCACGCTGAGTACCAGCGTCTTGTCGTAGAGTTTACTCGACGACATTAGAATGGCATGCGCACAAGATAGTGATCTTGTACGCCTGTTGGAGTACCTTAAGGACCCATCCAAGCAATCTAAGAAGCGCTTGCTGCCATGTATCGATCTTCTCTCGATCGATACACCCAGCGGAACTGCTTACTGTACTACACAGCCGTCAACAACGACACGCCTCGTGTCGTTGTACCTCCACAACATGATCTCAGGTTACGGATCATGTTTGAATGTCACGATGCACCAATAAGTGGGCATCGCGGCCGCGAGAAGACTTACTTCACGGTCAGTCGCGACTTTACTGGCCACGTCAGTATAAGTTCTTGCGCAAGTACGTGCGTGCTTGCGAGGTGTGTCAACGAGTGAAGCCTAGTCCTTCACTCCGTGCACCATTGCAGCTTCTACCTGTTCTGGCAGAGTGATGGGAGTCCGTATCAATAGACTTTGTCTTTGGGTTTCCCAAAGAAGCTCACGGGAATAATGGTATTCTCGTGTTTGTAGACAGGTTCAGCAAGATGGTACATCTTGTTGCTGTACCTAAATCGATCACAGCAGAGGGCTGTGCTCGAGTGTTTATCGATACAATCTTTTAATTGCACGGTTTAACCCGTGAACTTGTGTTCGATAGGGACCCCCGGCTCACGGCTGAGTTTTGGCGTTCCGTGTTCCAAACACTTGGAACACGGCTCACAATGTCTACTTCTGACCATCCTGAAACTGATGGTCAGACTGAACGCGCCAATCGCGTCCTCGAAGAAATTCTTCGAGGGTACGTCCACTCGTTTACGAGTTGGAGTGAGTTCTTGTCGATGGTCAAAATCGCCATCAACAACTCCGTGCATGCGTCTACGACGCATACACCGTTCTACGTGGATGGCGAAGGCCATCCACGTGCCCTCACCTTAGTAGAGGGTTACGCTAATTCAAGGGGGGAGGAACTCACTCAAGCGAGAACCAATCTGGCTCTTGCTCATCACGCGACGACGTTATGGTTGACGCGAAAGTACTCGAAGTCGTACCATTCGACTTTGGTGAAGAAGAAGAAAGTAAGAGCAATGACGTTCTTACTTATGATGATGCTGACGACGTCAGCATCGTTCGAGGTATCACTATCGAGAACAGTAATGTTCTCGCTGAGTTAGTAACAGACATCTCTGCAGTGCATTCACAATGCACTGCAGCCAAA